TTCCTGTGTGAGTGCATTGCAGCATTGACCTCTGCTTGTGTCACAGATGTTGAGGACCTGCTCCCTCCCGGACCTGAGCCGGGTCTTCAGCCCTCGGCAGGAATCAGCAGGAGCTAACGATGCTAGCGATGCTAACGATGCTAACGCCGCTCCGGATAATCCTCTGGAGATCGAAGACCTGGAGGAGGCGGCGAAGGACGAGGAGCAGTCAGAGGCGGAGGAGTAAGAGATGTAGAAAACACACAGGGTTAGAAAACAGGCGGTCATGATAATGTTTAATGTAGACATCAGGGAAATAATACACTTTAATAATAATATGTTAATATGATGTAATATATTTACTGAATTGTTGTCACGTGACCGTTGGCTCAGCAGACTCATCCATGGCTTCGTGGTTTAACAGAGGAGCGCATCATTTAATGTTTTTACAGGATTTATTTTTTAAATGAGACATCTAGAATAAAGACATGTTTCCCCTCGAAGAGTTTGTCACCTCTCTCGTAACTCTGACGGAAATGTCACTTTTTACAATTTCCATCTACGAGACATCCCATAATAACCTGCTGCTGGGCTTTTACCGGCTGCTACCCTCACCCTGAGGCTGTCCCTGGTTTCCATCAGAGACCACCTTAGAGATGATCTGTACTCATGATATCTCCCCTGCTCCTCAGCGCCTATGAGGATGAAGACCTGCGGGACATCCGGGCCTCCATGGAGCTTCTCCTGCAGGAGGAGGAGGGGAAAGGAGACTTCAACGGGAACCCTCCAGAGGAACTGTTCAGGGTATCAGCTGAGATCCAGCAGCACAGCAGGATGGCTGTGGATGATGAGGAAGAGGAGGATGAAGAGGAGGAGGAGGAGGAAGATGACGATGAAGAGGCCGGGGGGGCGCTCACTAACGGCGCCGAGGAGAACCTGAGCAACATCGAGCTCAACGAGGAGTGGCAATCAGGTGCGGGGATCATAATAATTCAGTTAGTGTTATATATTTGATTTGTGATGTTTGATATGCTTGGTCTTCAATCTCAGGATCCATGTATTTATTAACCTCTCAAGAATGGAAGTAGTCACCACACACAGAGCTGCGTGGGACAAAGAGTTCCCAGAGTAGAGTCCTTGATATGCTGATACACAAGAGAGGGAGTTACAGTCAGCAAGAGGGAGGAATACTGGGTCAGAGCAGTGTTCTGACATTAGTTCAGATTAGCTAAGGCCTGCGTACGACAGTCATATCTCTCTGTGTCATCTGCCAATCTGAGGAACAGAGCTAGCATCCATGCAGTCAGACATCACACTACTAGCTCACAGCTACGTAGGGCCTCTGATATCACGTGCTGCTCTGATACAGAAGGGACATTCATTTCTCAACATTTGATGCAAAATATTCATATTATTTTAAAATCTTTTTCTTTTTTACTTTTTCCGATTTCTTATCTTTCTTTTTTTAAGTATTATTTGTGATAAAATATTTTCAGAAAGTTTTTTTTTTTTTTTACAAAATCTTGAAAAAAAAGTTTTATAATAATAATTATTCCGTCAGTATTATATAGTGACATTAGTGTATAATGGGACAAACAAAATGCAGAAATTACAAACTTCAGACCTGAGAGTCGTAAAGTCAGTTATTCAACACATTTACAGATTACATCATTAACTGTTGTATGTTACATTTGGAAGAGTTTGTGGTGTGAAGGTTGAAACCGCTCCTAAATCTAAACTCCATTTTTTTGGATAAAATATCTTCCAGAAAAAACGTATTTCTTTTAAACTTTTCTTTAGTTTGAATCATTTCCTTTTTTTATTTTAACCAAACTTTTCTAGAACTTCTAAATGTTTTCTTGTATTTGATCAAATCTCTTTAGAATTTTTTTTATTATTATTTTCAGGACTTCCCTTTATTTTATTTTTTTTTAGATATTTTTATTTTAACCAGCATTTTACGGATAATTTATTTTCCGAATTTTATTTTACTATTTTTTAACTTTTTTGCGATTCATTTATTTTAACAAAATTCTTCCGGAAAAAGACAGAAATCATTTTTGGGGAAATGTGTTATAGGAGCCTAGGAACATAGGAGCCTAGGAACATAGGAGCCTAGGAACATAGGAACATAGGAGCCTAGGAACATAGGAGCCTAGGAACATAGGAGCCTAGGAACATAGGAACCTAGGAACATAGGAGCCTAGGAACATAGGAGCCTAGGAACATAGGAGCCTAGGAACATAGGAGCCTAGGAACA